TTACCTTTTTCTCGTTATACTTTTTGTAAAATTTTCGAGTTCTGGAATTTGGTAAAAGGTTGTTAGTGATGGAATGTGAAATGATGACGACATCGTAATTTGTTGAAACATTATAATTATAATATGTGTAAATATGATTGTTCACATTGGTTTTTCGAATTCGAAAATGAGACGTTTCAGTTAGTAACAAATCAGTGCAACAACGGTTTAGCATGAAGCATGCTTTCAGTTTCACCCAGAATCTGTCGTCAGTTTTGTCGGATCCGAAACGTTCTCGCTCTGAGGTGCATGCCTTCTTCACTCGGCACTGGGGCGATTCGTTTGTGCCGAAGACGCGAATCGCTTCATCGCCAGCCTTACCGGCCATCGATTTGGCACATTTCAAAAACTATTTGGATACAATTGCTAAGGTTTGAGACGTTCGTTTGAAAAAGAGCACCATCGACGGGGCTCTTTTCCTTCCAGGGGACCCCGTCTCTTTTCAGTCTCATATCAGCAGTCGTTGGTTTATTCAACTGCATTTCTGATTAGTTGAGTATTCCGGTAGTGTGCGCATGAAGCGAATAATGATACAAAAATGAGAGCGGGCGATATGTTTGTATTACTTACTGTTGCTCACATTGATTCTGAGTTAACGTCATCAAACGAAAATGTTTCTGAGAGAATGTTTCTTTTAAACTCACAAATGGAAAAAACTGGAAATTGACAAGTAGAAATTGGAATGAAAATTTGTGGCAGTTTACAGAAATTATTTTGTCGAAAATAATTGTAAATATTTTTGTATGTATTCGATAATAATGGAATGCTGATTCGATTAAATCAAAGTTATTTGATGCTAAGTTATCATTAGATGAACGGAATGGAATGCGAATGGACATGAATCATGCAGTGCACTAGCCAAAAAAAGAAACGGATATTTTTTAAACATTTGAAAACACATGATTATTTTTAGAAACATTTGAAATATGTGAAAGCGAAGAGAGAGTTGAGCAGATGTTTGACACGTCGTGAAGAGAACACAAGAACTGATACAAACGACGTTCCGCCGGTTCGAGTTCTTGCTGGTTTCATTTCTTTGTTGTTGTTTCGTTTAAAAGAAACCAATTATGGCTGTCGGTTGATTTCTTAAGATTGTGTCAAAAATTAACTTCTTTAATGGACGTTGATTCGATTCATTTGAAATAGTTGCGTAAACAAATTCATTAACGATTCCATGTTTGAATTGTGTATTATTTTGGTGTTAAGTTGAACTTTCAACAAGTGTTTCCTATGAGAAATGCGTTCTGAATTGTTAATGGTTAGATGCGAGCGAGCGACATGAGAGTTTATTACAGATCCTGCTATCGCCACACTTTTCATTGGCCGATTCGGAAACATTTGAAGCGATATTTTTGGAACCGAAACAGGGCGATGCGGAGGATCAACTGTGGATGGTCGATAAAACAGCGATCGCATGCTCATCAAGCACGAATCCGTTCGATGAGGACAACACCACTCCAGAAAGCACACCAAAGACGTCACGACAAGCCGATCGCAGTCGAACTTCTCCGCAGAAGGTCTTTTGTTGACCTTGTTCTCATCGTCTGTTACGAGTCATTAATATTGTTGTCGTAATTTGTCATTGATGTTGACTATTGTGTAATAATCACTTTAAAGTATGCTTAATTATTGCACATTGCTGATCAAGCCTTTCGTAGGTATGTTTTTGATCAATGTGCAGAAGTGTTAACGAATTATGCACTTCAGTCAAACGTGCGATTCGATGCGGGTCGCGGACGGGTATTTCGATCGTACGAAACACTTCAGAATCGACTGGAATATTACCATGATGTTGTTGATTCAAGATTGAATAATCAGCTGGCTGCAAAATCGAACTCTTTTTGGAAAACGGTTAAGTCGTGTGGAAGTTTATATGGAGAACTGAATGATGCGCAAAATAAAGTCAAATGTTTACGGTTAGTTTTTGGAAAGTTAACGAATTGGCGTTTGTTAAATTCATCCATTCTTTGGATTAGTTTTGCTTAATATTGGATATTGGTCATCATTTTTTTAGCTGTTCAGTACTTTTGAGCTAAGTTTATTTCATCCACATCAAATCATTTTTATTGTGAGCTAAACGGACGGACTTTATCTTCTTTACGGCGATAAGAATGAAGTTGCTTGCATCAGGAAAGTTCATATTTCAGGAAAAATCTCCAAGAGGTGAATGAGAAAGTTTACTTGAGAATGGTAAAAATCATAGAATTGTACAAGAGGAGAGAGCAGCGTGAGAAACTCCTTCAGAAATTGCAGGTAGTTGCTTGTTGAAAATCCATTTTATATTCTGTTCGATTGTTTATGTAAATTGTTATCCGAAGTAACTTCTCGACGTGTGACGTTTTTATATGTTGCCCATTGAGTGATGCTAATGAAATAACAATTGAGCACGGGATGGGTTTGTATTTCAGTTCTGATCTTAACATAACTATGTATTAAGGATATATCCTGCTTACGAGATGCACAATTGACCGTTCAAATGTTGTTGAATCAGAGTGACTATCCAAAAGCGCTGGAATGCATCGAAACAGCTCAAGATGTGCTACGTTCTGACCTGCGTGGCATTCTCTGTTTCAGGTTCGCCGTCATTTTTCGTTTGTTTATCATGAAGCAAGCATTCTGATTGCAATATGGAATGTTCTAAATTCTCAAGTGACCAATTTCTGCCTACGAAAGACATTTATAGGCACTTAAGTTCTCAATTGCAAGAGTTGTATAAAGTGATCGGTAAGATGCTGCAAGAAGAATTTGTTGCATTGGTGCAAAAAGAATTGGGACGATCGTGTGAGACTGAAGCAGAGGCAACTTGTCAAGATGTAAGATACATATGTACCTGATATGTTTTGATTGTTACTTTTTGAAATCTGCAAACGAGATTGTCATCTTTATTATTAGTGTTCTTGTCGAATGAAATAAGTGATCTTGAAACCTTACAACTAAGTGATATTTGTATCTTATTAAAGGGTATTCATTGCATATCATAACTCTCAAAAATAGCTCATGTGACCGGAAAATCAATGCAGTGAGCATTTATATAAAGAAGGATACAATGAGTGCCAATTCGATACTAGATTCTGAAAAGCAGAAAAGACTATTTACTTGTTGTGGTTGCGATCTATCGGGAATGAAGGAAAATTGACTGCAACGAATATGAAATCTTTTTAGGTATTCAGTCGAATCATCTGCCTTGGTTCTGATTTGTTACATTTTCACTGATATATGTTTATGTCATTGTGTTGGTTTTGATGAGTGATTGCATTGATGTCTTTCTTTATCACTTACGATTAGATCTTGATCAAAACTTCAGGGTCAGTTCAATCCGGTAGTGATTGGCCTGTTGCGTGTTCGAGAGCTTCGTTTCGTTCATGTACTACAGCAGGAAATCGTTGAAGCAATCAAAAATTTGCTGCGACAGGTTTGTTTGCTGTTGTTTTCTTCACGAGCAATTTAATGCTCGGTGCTTTTGCGAAGGCGTTGAGTTCAGTTCAGCTCTATCGAAGTATTCAGTGGAGCTGTCTGTATCTTTGTGATCCTTCTGTTGTGCCTATTTGATGATGACGATTAATTTCAGACGATCAAATCGCATGTGGTATCGAATTGCAGTGCAAACGGTCAACAACAGTTGAGTGTCTATGATCCAACATTGGGAAGTTTGGGTAATCAAATGCGTAAGTTGTCGTTAAATGAATGGTTGAATGCATTGGAACATCTGCTGCATGTGCTCTTCTATATGTGCCGTCGAGTGCAAACCATTCAAGAGCTCATCACCGAGAACATCGATCGTTACGTGGAGTTGTACTGCGATAGCGGTAACGTTGTGGAGCAACCACAATGCACTTCATCACTATCTATGGAAAGGTTCTCTTCGTTTTGATAGTTCTGGACAAATTCGCGTTTTTGTTGGTTTGCTGAATCAGTGAAACTGTTCGAATTTTCAGTGAGAGGCGCTTGTTGCGTATTCATCTCAGGTTTTCAGTTTTTTAATCAATTTTCATTATGTATCCAAGTGCGTGACAGGTCAATCTGCCTAAAAACATTTAGCCTAACGACAGTTTGCCTAAAGACATACTACATAACGGACAGTTTGCCTAACGGATAGTTTGCCGAACGGACAGTTTGCCTAACTTGCGGTTTTTTAATGGATATTTCACCTAATAGGCAAACTGTTCTTTCGGCAAACTTTTCGTTAGGCAAAATGTCCATTAGGCAAACTGTCCGTTAGGCAATGTGTCTTTAGGCGAACTGTCGTTAAGCTAAATGTCTTTAGACACATTGACCGGGTACCATCCAAGTGAGGGTTGGGAAACCCATTCGGGAGGAGGAACCGCAGGAGAGTTATATTTAAAGCAAAATTAGGGTGGACGATATGATCACAGGTCTGCGCGTTTATCCATTTTTGAATGCGAACTCGAAAATTTTCATAAGCATGTCATTATTCCTGTAATTTGTTTGCAGAATTGAGCAGACGGAATCAGCGTTCTCACAGCAGCAACAATCAAATCTTACGAGCAACACTAGCAGCAGCAATAATAATAATAATAATCATCCGTCAATAATCGTTGAGCAAGACGACGAACCAGAAGATGATTTGGAGGATGATTTGACGGTAGACGGAGTGGCAGAGAGTGTTGATCAACTGCCGGACTTATCACCATCAGGATCCGTGACCAGTATGGTTCTCGATCCTATCAGAATGCCAAAATTACCGTCTACAGTCTCACTAGATAGAATGCCATCTGACAGCACTGCCACAGCACCAACAAAACACATTTTTGCAATTCATCACAGTCAGTCTTCAGTATGTGTTCACAACGCATCTGATCTGCAACACCAACAAAAGCACGCTGCACTGTTTAATCAACGTAGAGCTAGTATTATTTCACACGGTGACAGTGCAAATTCTTCAGATATGAGTACACAACCACCGTTAAAAGTCTCCACACCAGCTGCCGTTTTATCAATGCCGTGTAGGAATATCCCACAGGTAATAGGTTGTGTCTAGCAATATTTTCAGTCAGTTGTGTTGTGAGCAGTGTTATTTTGATGCTGAGATGATTCCTTTGAATTTTGAAGTGATCCAACTAATCTATGAAAGTGTATATCTTCGCGTGATAATTATAACTTTGCAAGGAAAAATTGAATTTGTGCAAGAATGGGGAAATTTTTGAACTTTTTTCTCGTAAATTCGACGAATGATTTTATATTTTTTGAGGAAGTAGAGAAGTTTAGTAATTTAGCTTTCGTTTGTTGCAGAGCGAAATCAGTCTAATTATATCGTTTTATGCAGACTGGCAATATTCAGTGTAATCTGGCTATTTTGATTGTTTTTAAGGTGCGACAATCAATATCGTTATTGACTGGACATGCGACGTATACGGCTCAGGAACGAAGTTGTCGACTTTTCGTTGCAAGATCAAAGGTTTCATTCCTTGCCGATAATGTCTTATCAGCTCATTGACTCTCGTTTCTGCATCAAAATGTATTTCAATAGTATAACTTAAGAAATTTATTTCAGAAATTTTGTTCTGTTGCAAAATTTAAAAAAAAGAAACCTGAAAACAACGTGCTTGAAAAGCTCTTTATGAGAACACCATAGTATTTTCAGTTATCAATGTAGTTTTGCTTTATCAGGATGGATTTCTGGAGCGATTATCTTTATGTGAATTTCAACGAGTGTTACGAATCGCCGACGAATTCATTAATCGATGCGGTTTGTTGATTGGACGTGAAGTGAAGTATTCATCACCGTTACAGTTGTGTATTGTGCAGCTGAGTGCGCGTTTCATCAAGCATTTTCATCAGGATCGTAAAGCGAAATTGAGGTTCGACGATTACGGATTGACACACACTGCATGCGATATTCATTTCAATTTCATTTGTTGTGCTGCTGATGATTGGGCGATATAATAGTATGCATACCGGATGTTCGTATTGAATGGTGAATGTGAATACGATAGTTATCGTGAAATTGATAACTGAAATGGCAGTGATTTGCAAAAATTCTGGGGATTTATCAATAGACTTATCGGATCAGTAGTAACTGAAAAGTCTTATCAAATAACAATCGATGTGGTGATCCTTTCGGCATCGGAAAGGTGTGGGAACTGTATGAAAATCGAAAGTATTTAAGTGAATTTTGCCAGCCGTCAATAGTATGTTTGGTGATTTTGACAGCATCAGCAATAGGTGGATATTTATGCAGAGTGGATGTTTCAGCCATATTTTGGATTCGGAGAATTGGCGTGCTGGTGAGGTGCCTGAGTTGTTTCAACGGATTGTCGACGAATGCTTACGAAACGAACGTTTGAGCGATGTGTCAACTGCTGTTGATCAGAAGCAATCATCTGTTGATGCAAACACCTCGAAGAATCATCAGAACGCTTTGATGGTCGATGGCGAACCATATGTTGTTGTCGGGTAATTGATTGGCTTAGTTGTATATTGCCTTGAGCAGAAAGTCAAATAGTGAGGAGTGTTGACTGTTTTCTGGATTTTTAAGGACTGCGCTCTTGGTACTGCAAATGATGGCTGAGTATTGTGACGCACTCGCTGTTCTGCCTGAATTTGCTTCTGAATTGTTGATGTGCGTTGTGGAGGTGTTGAAGAACTTCAACTCACGTAGTTGTCAACTGATACTCGGAGCTGGTGCTCTACAGCTGATCGGTTTGAAGTCAATCAGCGTTAAACATTTAGGTAGTGGACCATTTCACAGTTTTGATATTAAACATATCGACTGTCGTTATCATATGCTTTGTTATATCATTTGATTGTGGGATGAATTTGTCTTCATCTGACCAGCGAATTTTGATTGCGATGAAATTTTGCTGAAACTGCTCGCGTCAGATTGTCAAAAAATTGAAGATTTTCCGAAAAATGGAACGAATCATGTCCGGAGCTTTTGAGACATTTTGAGTATGCATAAAGGCGAATAACTTCGGTTCCATGAATGAATGAACACAATGGTATCATTAAGAAATTTTGCGTTCGGTGCTTTGAGTCATTAGTTAGCGATTGCAGATCGTTGTTATTGAAGCGATCACGTGCACAGTATAATTGAATGGCTCATTTTATCTTCGTTATTGAGATTCATTTACTTCATATCCATTCACGGAAGTTCTGGGCTCCGAAATTGTTTCAAGCAACAGAGTACGATGTGTTCTGACAAGCAAAAAACGTTACAGCTTTGTCGTCGCGATGCCTTCAATTGATACTTCGTTTCATACCCTATCTCAAGGCCGATTTCGAAAAGCAGTTATCTGCTGGGAAGCAGAATCAATTAAGACATGTTACTCATATTATGCGGGTAAGATTCAGATTCTTTCCGTATTTCGTAAATTTCGAATATTTGCTCTTAGAAATTCATTTGAAATAGTACTGAGATTCATTATTCATATTTTCCTTTCAAAAAGAATTCAGTTAGAAACATTTGAGGAATATTATTGTTGTGTACAATTTAAGGATTACAACGATCATATCGATGAAATCGTTAACAAGTTGATCAGCGTCATTGAACATCATACAGTTGCGCAACTGCAACAAGTCAGTGATCTCTTATTTGAATGACGTTTTTTTTTCATTCTTGATTGTAATTTATCTCTTCATTTATGAGCTGCTAATTATATTATAGTTGTATTCTAGCCAGTCTTGTATATTCATGTTGTTTTCTGTGCAGCCGATTATAATTAACCGCTGATTGCAAGATTGAAAAGCTGAATTCGTCACTCATAATTTGCTTTCAGTGGGAGCCGAAAGGATCTGTTCCGTCAGCGGCGTTTCAACAGATCTCCAAACAACTGGGCAAATTTTACGGGGGTCTAACTGGTATTATGCCCGAAGAAATGATACAGGTGAAATGGATTTGGTTATGTAGTTTTGCAAAATTTGATGGTAGGAAAATGAAACTGGGTTATTCGATCAGAGTTTGAGTGAACGCATATTCAGATGAAATGATTTGATTAGTTGATGTAGTCCATCAAGCCATGTTGTATCACAAGCAGAAGGTCATGAAAGTTC